CCCCTACGCCAAGCTGAAAAACACAAAATCACTGTGTAGTGCAGAGGACTAAGAAATATAAGCAGGATGAGCCTAGTGATTTGAGAAATTATAAAAGAAATACATAGAAATTATATGCTAAACTCAGTGACAGTTTTTTTTTTTCCAAGAAAAGTCACACAATACTCTTAGAAAGTTGTAAACAGCACGAGGCTCTTCAATGAGTAGCTTTGGTTATGTGTCGTAAAAAAAGCATCTACAGTATAGAGAAAAAAGATTGCTACCTTAGTCTTGGCTATTACACGTAACTTAGTAAAATAATTTATAAAGTATATTGTTTGAAAGAACATGATGGATAAGACTGTAACACGCAATCTGTTTATTTTTTTAAGACTTAAGTGAGAAATCTGAATGGTGGAATCCACCCCAAGGTGGCATTCTCTCTTGCATTTGTACTACTGTTGTTCTCAGGTATCGGTACTTCTCAAACTTTCCCACCAAACTGTATAGGAGAGTAAACATATATCTCCTACAGTGACTCAAAACAAAACAAAACAAAAACAGTTCTCTGAAGTTGCATGTCTAGCTTTAAACTTTATGCAAATTCTGCATTCTATTATATAATTTATCATTGTGATAGCAACTGTTTTATAATTAGGAGGAAAAACCTCCAAATATTTCCTACCTACCTCAGTGGTAAAGGAAAGAGAGCAACAGCATCAAGTCTTCCAATTTCAGAAAACTGATCTGAATTAAAATACCATTGACCAAATTGATTCAGCCTCCAGAGCTTTACTGTCTTGGTTTCACAGCATTTTGAGAACTCCAATTTATATAGATATGCAGCTACACTGGCCAATTAGCTGCTGGTAAAGAGGTAGTAGTTCACTACAACAATTTCAGGAAACTGTTAAGGAAAACTTAATTACATTTTCTTATTACCTGAATGATCAAGTTACTTGTATCATCTGACTAAAAGCATTTCATTTTTATATTCAAGAAAATATGAAACCCTTTCTTCAAGCAAAGAAAGATAACATGACTTTAATTTTGTCACAATGCTGCAACTTTTTATCATAAAAAGCACTAAGGTTTTTGTTGCTGAGATGTAATTCACACAGCATAAAGTTTACCCTCTTAAAGCATACAGTTCAGTGGTTTTCATATGTACAACCATCACCATTATCCCATTTTAGAATATTTTCATCACTCCCAGCTCTTGACAACCACTAATATACTTTCTGTCTCTATATATTTGCCTATTCTGGACATTTTGTATAAATGGAATCAAACAATATGTGGCCTTTTGGCTTTTCATTTCTCAAAATGTTTCAAGGTTCATCCACGTTGTAGCCTATATCAGTACTTCATTCTTCTCTATGACTGAATAATATTCCATGATGTGGTTATACATTTGTTTATTCTATTCATCAGATGATGGACCTTTGGGTTGTTTCTACTTTCTAGCTATTATGAATAATGCTGTAATGAACATCTGTGTGCAAGTTTTTGTGTGGACATACAGGTTTTTTTTGAGTAGATACCTGGGAGCGGAATCACAGGGTACCTCTAGATTTAACTTTTCAAAGTATTGCCAGTTTTTAAAGCAAGCATGTCATTTTACATTACCCACAGCAATGTATGAGAGTTCAATTTCTCCACATCCTTGCCAACACTTGTTGTTGTCCAACATCATTGATAAGTGGTTCAAGTCCCCACAATCAACTCACTTCATCTAACTCTCAAGTTTCATTTTCACTGTAATTATCTTGTTGTGCATTAAATAAAAATATTCATAATTTAACTAAACATTCAGACTTAAAAAAACATCAGTTAAATAAATCAACTTTATAAGCCATTTTTTTTAATTAGGTAAATATTTGTTTAATCCAAGTTTCCCTCCCCCTCTATTACATTCTACCATAACACCCTTTATACTCTATTACAATAATTAACTTTTTTTTTTTTTTTTGGTATTTGTCTGTCCCTGCCAGTAGAAAATAAAAGCCACGAGAGTAGGGACTTTATCAGTTTTCTCCATTGTAGCACCAATGAACAATAGTGCCAAGCAGAGTAGATGCTCAATAAATATTTGCATAAAACATTACATAAAACACATGAATAAGTAAGTGTATAGTTCTGTATAGTTTGAGTTCTCCCCTCTTCTGAACCCTCCTGAAGCACCGATGTCATCTGCCATTTGGTATTTTCTAGAAGCTGACTTTTTTTATACAATTAGCAAATATTCAAGTCTCGGGTATTTTAAAAATAATAATTTAAAAATTCACTGGTTTTCAGGTTACAAACGTATAAAAAACAACAAACAAGCATGTGGAACTCATCAAAGTTGCCAAGAAACCACACTAACTGATTGGGTTCAGTAAAGCAGTACTACAGGCCAGTGACATTATCATGATCTGTTTTCACAGAAGTAGGAAACCCTCCTTGTTGCCTGTAATAATAAAATTGTATTTTCCAATAACCTGAAAGTATCAAATTTTCCATATAGTTTCAGAACAGAAAAATGTTCTGATAGCTTTTATGACAAATAAAATATTATCACTCCAACCCCTCCCCAACCACCAATTTGACCATTACAGAAAGCAGAATTCTGACTAATTTGCTTGCAAAGGCACATAACAAAACACTTCTCTGTAAAATCTTTATAAAACTGATGCTCCAAGAAAGTGTGCCATAATTATCCTGCGGTTCCTGTATTCTTCCTAGTATTCTACCACACACCCTCAGGGGATATTTACTTGATATGAGAAGTATGGAAATATGTGACTATTGGTTCCTTCAATAAGAAAGAATTCTCATTTAAAAATTTTCTAAGGAGATTTTCCTGTTTCAAAAAGTAAATCTTTTTAAATGGCCACTACTATCTGGGCCCTTCTAATTCACACTGAGGTCTAATTCATTACTATGAGTAATCTGCAAAAATAACTAAAGAAAGGCAAAAACTATGCTTTCACAGTCCCTTGGAAGACGGGTAATAATGATCACACCAGGAAAACTGAACCCAGCAGCCAAAATATTAACCTTAACACTGCTTAACCAGGCAGCCTCCCTTTTGTTCTAATGCCTATTTTCAAGAACTCTATGAAACCAATATCTCTTTTCAAAGCAGGAAGTAAAAATAGGAACATTAAACTACACTCTAAGAGATCTAAACTGAACCCAGCTCACCCATAAAATCCATTGTTCCATTTTGGTTGCTTTCATCAATATATTGGTCAGTAGACTGAAAACTTATGTTAGGATTCAGGCATGTTACATGGTAGTGTCCTAGGTGGGTAACAATGGGGCAAGGGGGCTTTCCCCTCAGATATATGTTATTATAATAATATTCACATATTAATAGTCAAAGGAAGTAACAACATGCTTACTCATAGCAGCTTTTCCAAAAAAATTGCTCAGCACATTCCCTTTCCCTGGTGCCTTGTTGCCTGCTGAAGATGCCTAAAAGTGTAGAAAAGAAAACACACATAATTTTTTTTCCTAGGGTTAAGGTTGCTCTTCGAGTAGCAGTCTCAAAAAATCTCAATAACAGAGCACACTGTTCTGATGGTACAGTATTTATATCATTGTGCCAAATGTGTAGGCATTAGATATAAGAACAAATCCAGACTAGACAGTATCTGATGTTAATCTCCAAAGCTTAGTTTCTCACAGTTCTTATAAAATTATTATCCATGAATGTGTCTAAACTTTCCTTGAGTGTATTTAAATCTACTTATTTTGACAGAATTAAAATAGATCAGAGGCAGTATGGTACACGATGGGGAAAAACCTCCAAAACATTACATTTGTAATCATCAGACGTGAATTTGAATGCTGGTTCCACCACTTAATAGCTTAATGCTTGGTGAGAAGCATTATCAAAAGAAAAAGGACTATTTCAGATGACAATATCAAGAATTAAAGGATTCAAAATAAAGTATAAAAATTAAAACTAAATGTGAGAACCTTATGTAAGTAAACTACCATTAGAACTATTAATGCTTTTCTAGTTACACATTCTGAGCTATAAAGGCATATCTTTAACAAAGACTTATATTTGTTACCTCTTTAGTCTCTATTTTGGTTTCTTTGTTAGTATCTTGGGTTTTAGAGGCAGCTTTAGAGGTAAACATTCCCATAATTCCTTTAGGCTGTTGGGGAATCTGTTTGGAGTTAGGTGGGCCATGACCATTGGTGGTCAATGCATTACTGGATTGCGTCTCACTTGATATCTGAAGATTTGACTGCTCAAACTTTTCAGAAGATGAAGATTCGGCAAGAGCTCTAGGGACTGCAGCTGCACACTGTATGGCACTAAACCTGTGGGCAGAAATGTTACATTAATGTCAATATCTAACCTTACTTTCAAACCTTATTGCTTCTTCAACATAATACTTTCTAAGCCTAATATAAAATGAGAAATTTTTATAACTAGAACAGATTTTAGAAATTATTTTGTGCAAAACTCATTTTGGTAAACAAGTCTTGGAGAGAAGTGAGTAAGTTCTTTTAAGTTATGTATCTAGTTAGTAATAGAACTAGGATTGGAATAAAAACTAGGCTATGAAATCTGTAATACCATATTGAATATTGTTTTTCTGGAAAAAAAAAAAAGCATCCTAACTCAAAAACAGTAAGAATATACCAAATGGCAATAAAAGATTAGTAATTTTATGGGAAACCAAATGGTTATTTAGTTTTTAAAGACCTTCACCTTGAAGGGCTAGATATGCAATAAAAATTGTGAATCAAAATTAAGAGCTTTAAATATTAACAAATTTCCTGACAACTCTTCTGGCCAGAGTGGATCATGCTTTAAAACATGGAAGAAGCTGGGAACACAGCCACTGGCACCTATAACCTGTGGTCTTTTATAGTTGTTTGTTAATAGTTTCTAATAATACCAATTAAAAGCACCAGAAAAGTATGCCCAAAACCAAGTGAAGAAATTTGGAACAGTTTGCCTGAATAGTAAAGGAAACATTTATCTCTTCTTCTCTAGTCATTGTAGATTGCCTGTTTCACACAAATGCATAACGTAATGTTCCACATTGTGAGTGGATAACTGATCCAGTCTTCTCAAATGGCTGTACTTGAAGCAAAGTTCCCCAACTTTTCCTAATAAAGGACGTGCTATTTCCCCCAGTCTTTTGCTTACTGGGGATAAGTGAGAGCTCCCTGAAAGTAGGGAAATGTATTATTCGTCATTTGTATTTCAGGTACACAGCATAAAACCTGGCATATAAAAGTGTCAGGAAATATATATTGAAAGAATGATTAAGTCACTGAAAATGAGGCGTCTGGCTTCTCTCCTCTCTTCAGTGTCTCACCTTAAGTTGGGGTGGGAGAAGATGGAGATTAAGAAACTCTGTGGTGAAAGCAATTATCTTAGCAATCAATCAGGCACAGCTTCATAATCAGCTGCTAGAATAACTGGCCTAAGAAAAAAAATCCCTGACAAAACATTTAATTTCAAAAGTAACTTTAGACTCAACAGCCTAAAGCTAAAATGTACAGCTTCAACAATCTTCCATTGATTTATTGTGGTCCACATTAGAAAACCCTACATTAACACAAATATTTCGTACATCAGAATTAAGAACAGAAGGAAATCATTTCCTTTCATCAACCATTCTTCCTCTCTGGCTTTGCACTGCTTCCACGTACAAGAAAAAGAGCATGTTTTATTTCATTGTCAACATCTAAAGTTGGCCCCAAAACAACTCTTTCTCCATTTGGTCTACATTCCACACCTCAGGGTCAGGACGAGGAATTGGCAATGAGGAAGAGACCAAGTTAGGCTGGGAACATGTCCGAAGAGAGAAGAATCTGCTCAGTCCTAAAATTTTAACTTTCTTCCTGTCACAGCATTTCTTAAAACACATGAAACAATGAGTCAGATCTCAGTTGGCCCATAATTCTCAGTACTAAATACAAACTTCTTTATTGGAGATAAATTCTTCACATTTTTAACTTTAAGTATTTAAGTAAAGTTTCATTAAAGTGCTTCCTATTACCACATTTCTGCTTGCCATGTTTATTTTAGAGGTCCCTGTGTAAATTTCACTTTGAACTTTTGAGCCACTTTTATACTTGTTTGCTTATGTGCTAGATACAACAGAGAAACTGATTTTTAGAGCTTGACGTGTCATGATTAGATTTTAAAAGACATTTTTGATAATTTAGATAAACATATCAGGTATTGTTTCCTGCAATCCTTCCCTAAAAGATACAAGACTTATAAATTACTACCCTTTAGTTGTATAATTATATTTATTTAATAAATATTTGTATGCCTATTATACTCAAGGTTTTGAGCTAAAGAAAAAAGAACTAATGTCTATCAGTTCAGTCAACAATTATTTACTGAATGCTTACCATTTGCCAGACACCATTTTGGGTATGCAGTGGTTAATAAAAGAGACATGATCCTTATTCTCATAGAACTTACAGAAACTACATTTGGTAAGTCTCTATTTCTCCTCAACGACCTGGTTCTATCAGTTGTCTCATCTCCCCAAGTATCTTCAACGATTTCTTCTTTTATGGTTCTTTCCTATCAAGTTCAAGGCACTCTCAACTTTAAAAATATATATGCCATATAGCTACCTCCCTCCTTTTTCTCCATTTTACAGTCATTTCCTGGAAAGAGTTGTCTATATTTACTCAGCTGACCAGAATCATTCTACTGAAAATGCTCTTAGCAAGGCCATCACTAAATCCAATAGACACTTTTCAGTTCCTTTTTTACTTAGCTTCTCAACAAGGTTTGATATTATCAACTAGTCTCTCCTTCTTGAGATTCATTCCTTAGCTTTTAGAACTCCATATACTCTTCTAATTTTCCTCTTATCTGTAGTTGCTCCCTCTCAGGCCCGATTTTCTGCCCATCCTTTAAAAAATGACTACTACTTAAATAGTGCTTACTATGTGCCAAGCACTATTCTAAGCACTTTTCGTGCATTAATTCATTTAATGCCTTACAACCCTGTGAGACTGCTACTACTATCTTCATTTTACTGATGAGGAAATTGAAGAACAGAGGTTAATTTGCCTAAAGTTACACAGCTAATACTTATGCCTAGAGTTTTACTTTCTGCCCTTCCATTCTATACACAATCTCTACATAACTATATCTACTCAATTAATTATCTATTTTCTCTGATTCCGAATCTCTATCTTCATTCCAGATGATCAGAGTATTAAGCAGGCCCTGGGCCACATTCACTCTGATTTGTCTTCACAGCCAGTCATCTTTCTAAAATGCAATTCTGATCATTTCACGCATCTGCTTAAAAATCTTCAGTCAGTCTCTACAGCCTTGGAACAGTTTAAACTCCTTATCCTAGCAGACAATGCACAGAATCTGACTCCTATTTCAGTCTTGTATCTCAGTATTTACCACCTCATTCCAAATTCCAGCCATATAAAACTATTGTGGTTCCACACAAGCGCCATGTTTTCTCTCAGCTCTGTCCTACTCTCCCACTTCTCCTTTGACTGTTCACTTCTACTGGGTCTTCAATCTTAGACATCTTACATGTCGTTCCCATCAGGAATCCTCCTCTGTCTTACCCCCTCACTCCACCCCACCCCAAAATGAGAGATGAGTGCCCCTCTAACATCTTCCCACACTATTACTCCTATTATAACACTGTCACACTGTACTGTAATTGCCTCCTATAGGACATCAGGTCCACAAGCAGGCACTGGGCCATATTCACTATAGAGTGTGGCATGTTGTAGGTACTCACCAGATCTTTGTTGAATGAATTCAAATTATCTTGCTTAATACCTGTCAAAGTAGTAGGTGCTCGATGTATGTCTGGGGAACTGATCTAACTCCACAAAGTAGGTATTATGTCCAATTTAAAGATAAAGACACCAAATCTCAAAGAGTTTAAGTAGTTTGCCCAAAGTCATGGGGTATTAAGCAGCAAAGCCATGACTTAAGCCCATGACCATCACATCCCAAAACTCATATGCATGATAGTCTATCATCACCCTATGCTGTGAAAGATACAAGAGATGAACAAGATCTGATCCTAGCTGTGGAAGATCAACTGCTTTGGGATAGAAGCTAGAGGGATATCAAATTAGGAAGTTTTCTGAAAGACAACATTTGAGCTGGTTCTTAAAGGATGGACAGAATTTAGACAAGCAGAGACTGGGGTAAGGGAGTAATAAGGGGGCACAGCAAACATTTCTGGTGGCAGTGACAGGATAAATACATGAGAAAAAGATTTATGGGGAGTCCACTGGGGTTTTCAATATGGGTTGTGGCTGCTATTTTTCACCTTATGATGTACTAATAAAACCAGGCATGTGTCTTACTGCAAGATAAATGGGGTTTTACTAGACTTGGCATTCACTCTTAAGAGGCAGCCACTGTATAAACATCTTACAAAATCAATTCGTAAAGAAGCCCACAAGGAACATTAAGGAGCTCACTTGCTGCAGTTCTGCAAGTTGCTTTTAAGGATGTCATAGTCGGTATTGAACAGAGGCCCACTGTCCTTTAGCATGGCTTTCTGGATGCTGTACACATGGACGCTGGCAGTCACAGCTAGCTTGGACTTCACTGCTACAAGTCAACAGGAAAAGCAGTCTGTTAATACACAAACTTCATAGCATGAGGGGACTTTAACAAGAAACCCTTCTGCATTAAAACCATTTGCAATCTGTGGTGGTCCAAAAAGCTCTAAAAGGCCAAAGAGCCACATATACAATATAATATCAATTCTTCTGTCTCCAATGGGAACATTATGACAAGGTAGGTGGTGGTGAGTCAGTTCTAAGTACAGTACCTGTGAGAGTATCACTCATCCAGTGGACACTCAGTAAATAATAGTGAATGATTCATGATGACTGATTTTTTTTCAGCCAGGAAAAGAATCTTACACTCTAGCATATAATTGAGGAATAAGTAATTTTATCTGAGAAGACTCACTTCTATAATTCAACTTTAGAGAAAGCAACTCTATAACAAAATACTACTAATCAGGTAAGTCGCAGAGGAAAAACACAAAAGAACATCACGAGAACAAATTTTAGGTTCCATGAAGGAAAAGAACTGTGCCTAACTTGTTCAAAGTTTCTAGTGCCCAACACAGAGCTTGACACAGAGTAAATACTCACTATGTATCACCGAATGAATCTTGTTTTGCGTATCTATGTGAGAATTCAGAAGGAAAAACTGTGGATATCTTAATTTGTAAGAAAACGACTCCACTGGCAAGAGTCTTTATAATAAAGTACAAAAGTACAGGTTTTGTCTTGAGACATGGGGCTAAGATCATGTGGACTCAAACTGTTACACAATTCCTTTGAATTGAGGTATTTAAAAAATAAGTCTTGAAACAGGTGGAAAATTTTAACTTAGACATTACATTGTCTTTCTGACTTTAGAAAAGCATTAATTTTCTTCCTAAAAAAAATTGTTATGGAACACAACACAATATTTAGAGACTATTGTCTTTTTACAGTTGATGAGGTGCTCCATACAGTATTCACAATAGTTTTTTGTATGTCAGTCACGAGTTTTGAAATCCTGTGATAAAAGTACTTTATAAATGTCAGCAGCTACGACCTTAAAAATTGGAAGTTAGGCAGATGTAGTATTATATTTTAACGTGTTTCAGGAGCTACTAAAAAAGGAATATACAGCTCTTCAGTTAAATAGCTAAATATATTGTATGCAGATGTTAGGGGCAGATTTTTCTACTATACCTATACTAATGGCATAAGAGGAAAAACTTGTTAAACCGCTAAAGCACTTACCTTCCAATTTATCTTCTCTCACTACTGCAACCTTGTGGCACTGTAAGGGAATAACACTTCATTAATGTTTAAAGCAGCACAACTTGCGTTTTTCAAAGTTTGCTTGCCAATAATTCAGTTGTACTTGGATATGAAGTTAGGAACATTAAGTACCTCTGAAAATATATGTTACAGTTTAATAGTCACACTCATTTTTAATTTGCTTACATTAACACTTCTTAATGAGGTTAAGGAAAGGGATAGAGTATAGATATCAATATAAAAACAAACAAAAAAACACAGCATCTCAAATTAGTGTGAGATCAAATATATGGTAGCTGAAGGAAACTGGATTCTGGGTGGCAATCACACAAGAGAATATATAGATGTCAAGTTATAATGTACATCTGAAAATTATATAATTGTATTAACCAATGTTACCCCAATAAACTTAAAAAAATCAGTGTGAGGAAAAAAGGACTTTTAGTAGGTAACATAATGAGAATTACCATATAATCATATAGAACCAGATTAAAAAAGTGGATCTGTCTCTCACACCACCCACTGAATAAATTTTAAATGGATCTGAAATCTAAGTGTAAAGAAATCATATACGCACTAGAAGAAATTATGGGTGAATTCTTTTATAAATTGATACAATCTGAGAATAAGGAAGTTTCCTAATTATAATTCAAAATCCAGAAATAACTTAAATAATCCATAAAAGCTGACAATTAACTTTTGGATGGCAAAAAAATAATAAAATAAAAACTTTAAGCAAAGTACAAAGACAAATGATAAAGTGGAAAAAATATCTGCAAGTTATATTACAAAAGGTTAATATATAGCTTCTAAACTAGAAAAAACAAAGACTAGCAATCCTTTAGAAAAATGAGCAAGATGTATGAAAAGACAGTTCACAGAAAGAAATGCAAGTAACCGTGAAACATATAGCATGTGCTGTGTGGAAATGGGCACCCATACACATTGTTGGTGGGGATGAAAAATGGAGAGGTATTTGGCAATACTCAACAAAGTACATATACACCCTACTTCTAGGAACCTTAAAACACATTGGCAAAAATATACAAAACACATATGCACTGAGCTATTCACTACAGCACTATTTATAAGCCAAAGACTGTAACTCAAACAACTATCAATAAAGGACTGCTGAATAAACTAAGGTATAGCTATTAACACAGGATCACGCGGCTGTAAAAAGGAATGTGGAATATTTTTTTAACTACTATGGAGTGATGCTCAGGTTCTCTTAAGTGAAAAAAGCAAAGTGCAAAACAGGGTGTAATGTACAAAAACTTATCTAAGAAAGGAGGTTAATATGAATATATATTTGCTTAAATTAAAAATATATATGACAACAAAAACAATGAAAGAACACAAAATCAATAAAAAGTTACTTGTAAGGGAAAAGAGGAACCTAAAAATTCAGAGGGAAAAAAACTGAATTTAACTAGATTCTAAATTGGTGGCTTAACCACAGAGAGGAATTATTTCAAGTGATTCTAAAACACATGCTGACTGTACATCTCTAGCAGACTCTGTCCTACAGACAAAAAGAACTGCAAAGAAGTCTTAAACTATTGTCAGTAATCATATTGTTACTAAAAATATTGGTTTCGCTTTTCTAAAGCTCATTTGGCTAAAGCAAATACATATTTATGTTAATATAGAAACCACCAAAATTTACAACATCAGAGAAAAGAGCAATATAAAATCAAAGAGTTTTTTTAAAAATATAACAGTAAATTTGAATCGGGAATATTAGTATGTTTTCATAATGTTTTCTCTTAAAAAAAATAAAACAGGCATTCTTAAAAAAGTCATATTCTGCAAAACTACACAATACAAATTACAGAGCTTATGAGAAAAAGAGCATTGTGAACTAACCGCTCAAACCTATGCAACTCTGTAATAAGAGCTGTAAAAATAACTGGTATCCTCAGGAGAAAATTTGGACAGCCTCGACAGTTCAGTGTGGCTATATGCAGTCTCAGGGGATATTGAAAATGCATAAAAACTCAGTAGAAATGCCAGCTTGCTGGTGCTAAAATAAAAGACACCAGAGTACAGCTCTAATTCAGTGTGTTCCTGTTAAAAGGAGGACACAGGTAAGTGAGAGGGTAAGCCCACCTGAGCTTTTTTGCAATAAAAGGAAAAACATCGCTAGTTGATCAAAGTTCTTTACAGAAAAATTCCAGCCAGTACATGCAGAAGAAATGACAGAAGTTGAACATTACCATTCTGTAACTCCTTATGAATTAATGATCCAGGCAATAATAAAAATCGATCTCAGCTAAAATCATTAGATGAAAAGCTAATGAGGAACTTCATAAAGGATGGATCAGGCTGACAACCACTAACACAAAAAGAGAATCAATGAAATGTTCCCTTGAAATTTTCAAGTAATTCTTTGGAAGACTCTCTGGGACAAGATTAGGAAGAGGCTTTTCTTTCTACATGTCGTTAAACATTTTTTACAATAATCACAGTCACTGGAAAAATAAAAAGTATTTATAAATCCATACAAAGCCTATAATTTATCTTTTTTCTTCCTAGAAACACTTAAAACTTAAAGAACAAATTAAAAGGAACAGAACAAAACCTGAAATTATACTTAATAATCTGCCCTTTCATAGGAGGGCTCTCTTTAAGAAAAAAAGCATAAGTAAACATCCACACTTGGTCAATCAATCTACAGGGTTCCACAGAGCTGCCTTGCGAGGTTGTAAGGAGTGAGTACAGGGCTCCAAAATCCTCACAACCACTTTGACAACAGCAATCCCACTCCTAATATATTTTTTATGTTAGGATTCTAATTAAGATTTCATTTGAAAGCATTCTGCTGCTTAAAAAAAGATGGGCAGAATTTAAACACCCTCTTAAATTTAAAAATAAAAGGTCTTTACAAGCGAGCCACAATAAGGAAGTTTTTAACTGATATGAGTTACACATCATTTTGAAAAAATGGTCTCCAAAAAAATGCACCAAGGAACACAATCTGAATGTACTTTCAGGGGTTACTCCAAGAATCTCCTGAAACCTGAAAATATCCAAGGATCCCAAGTTAGGAGCCTCTGTCATATGGCATAGAACAAAAATCTACAACTTTATCTTAAAACATAAATTCTTAACCTTGGACCCTGCTCCAGATGACGTGTGAACGCTCAAAATTTTATCTACATTTTTCTTTCAGATTCTCAAAGCAATCAGTGACCAAAAGAAGAATAAAACCTACTGCTTTAAAGGAATACAATGATTCCCAGGTAAAGAATCAACTATAACTAGATTGAAGGCATCGACTATAAAGAGACAGATGGGAGCTAGTTAACCTTGGAAACAAAAGGAAAGAAGACATTCGGCTGCAGACTCTGACAGTATCTATTCAAGAGCAATACAGAGAGGATCCTGGTGCCAAGTTTATTCCTGAGAGTATATGAATCAGGTATGCTTAATTTTGTGTTTCAGATATATAATGACGTCTGATTCTACACCTGCAAATATCTTGATTATTACCTGGTATGCCAAATAGCTTACCAACGTGGAAAGAAATTGCTGGTCAGAGAATATAGAGCTCTGATCCCCCTAGCAATTTTATTTCCCCTTGTAAATTACTAAATTGCCATTCTGGTTTTAAACCTCACATGCTTGGGACTCTATTGCTATAAAACAAATCCAGTCAGTATTTTAATAAATCAGGCTTCTGAACTTATAATTCTGAAGGAAAGTCAAAAGGGAAGAGGAACACAGATATTAGTGGCTCTCTGAGGAACCCTGATACTTGGGTTAAGTTCTGTAGGGCTGCAGGTGGTGGTGGGAGCAAAAGAACCTTCAGATAGGTTTGGGGAGGTGAGAACAGAGGAGGTATGCCTTAGTTTTGAGAGGAAGCCAGAGAGGAGGAATTATCAAAGTTCCCAAGAATGAGTCTGGTGCAGAAGAACCGATTATCTTAGCAGAGTGTCTGGTGCCCACCAAGTCATGAGAGTAGTAGAATGATCCCTTTGCCCCAAAAAGGGATATGGAAGTAGCTAAGAGAGTCAGCAGATCTGAGAAAGCTTTGTGGTCAGGAGGATGAAAATATAGCAGTGACCTGAGGTGAGTGGTGACCACATACCAGACTGGACTATAAAAAGATGCACCAGAATGAAGATATGCCCAACCTAATGCTTCTGCATTAGCTCAGGCCCCGCCAACAGCCCCATCTTCCAGATGCTTAGACATAAGCCTACTAAAATGAATGCTCAAATTAAAATCAACTTCAAGTTAAAAAAAATAATACTTTCTGAACACCTGTGTTACTTAACATTTGATCAGGATGGAAACCACCATTGTCCCTAATATACCTTCAAGAGAAGAAAGAAGAATAACATAAGCAGTATCCTAATGTCTTGTTCCCTAAGAAAATTAAATAATGATACAGTCTCTGCCAAGATATTACCAAAACTTCTCAGAGTTTTAAGGTTAGTCTAAAAGTCCAAAATAACCATCTTCAGGTAGCTTTTTAAAACTTCCATAATACTAAACTTGTTCCCCAACCCCCACCCCATGTTATTTAAGTTTATAACTCAAACATATTTGAGCTTATTATACGATTCTGCAAACTTACCGAATGTCCATTCTGAATAAGACTGCCAGACACTAAATAAGTGACATGCAATTGGGCTCCTGAATTTTCCTTTCGCTTCCTTTCGACATAATCATACAGCATCCTGTTCCAAACAAAGTGAACAAATCATTAGTTACCTCTTCAACTCTTCATTTGTGGCTTAAAAGTTAGATATATATTCAATCTGACAGTCTATCAAATTTTCTATAGAATTTTTGCTCTGTTTATGGACAGAGACTTAAAAGTTGGGATCAACTTATTGAATTGGCACAGTGACCCAGTAAGTAGCTGAAATAAAGAGATCTTGTAACAGGCCAAGAGGAACTGAACTTGCAACAAAACAGTGACAATGACATATAATGAACAGAACACTCAACCAAGAATAAGTTCCATCACTATCTCGCTATGTGATCCTGGATAAGCTAATTAATTTTTCTAGGCTTCGTAATATCCTAAGGTATAAAATGGGAGGGTAGTACTAGCCAGTGATTCTCTTCACTTGGGATTCATGTGGCTATCTATAACCCTCCACAACCAAAATTGTAAGTAAAATGTATGTGCTTTTTAGGGACAGTTCAGGGTTTTCAAGTTTCTCAAAAGGGTTCATTACTCCACTGAGATGAAAAAAAGCAGAAGTACATGTTAGGGGCAGAAATCAGGAGATAGCTTTTGGGGCATGTTAAGTCTGAGATACCTATTAGTCATTAAGTGATGTTGAAAACGTAGTTGGATATATTCTTGTCTGAAGTATTATTTCTTGTTCAAAAATTTTGAGTAACTCTCCATCCCCTAAGGATCAATTCCAACTTTCAAGCAATGATAGGTAAGGCCCTTCTTGTTCTGGCCCCTGTATCTCTCATCATTCTCCCACAGTCACATTATTTTCAGCCTTATGAAACATTCTGCAGTTCCCCTTATATATCTCCTTTGTCTACAATGTTCTCAGACCTCATCCACCTAATTCTTCTTCAAGACAGGAGCTCAGTTATCACCTATGTGAAGCCTTCCTAATACCACAGATCTGCAGGGCACCCCCGCCTTTCAAGCTCTAACAGGGCCTATCCCATATCTGTTATTATAGCACTTACCATACCATAACTAGTTTACATATCTGCCATACCTACTAGACTAAAAGCTCCTTGAGGACAAAAAATGTGCCCTATTTAGCATTTTTGTTGATTCTTCTTTCTTGTTCTCTTTAGGGTTTCTTTCCATGCAGCAATTACAGCGGGAAGGATGAGGTGACAGAAATTCATAAACATTTTAGTTTATTAATGCTAGTTATTATGCTAATAGAAGAAATGATAGGCCAAGGATCATGCCCGAGATGCTCTCAAACTTGCTGGCTAAATCTTTTACCTACAACTAATAGTCTTGCCTATATTATCGCAGACCTCCTCTTCGCTCTTGTCTCCCCAAATCAACCCCAATTCTTTTATATTAAGAAGATAAAAAATGTACAAACTCTTTGAAAAAAATAATTTTGCATATCATTAGAGTCTCTAAGACATGGTTATCTAATTTGATTAAACCAAACATTTTACCAACAAAATATGCAAAACATTCTTAAATACAAATGACAACATATATGAATTTTTATAAGATATACTTTCTACAGATATGATTAACTATATCTTCTCATTTTAATTCATTAATTTTCCCTTCTGATAAATTCCACCTATAATTTTCCCAAGGACGAATACAGTGTTTATTGTATACTGCCTTCCCTAAGCCAGTTTAACTCCTTCGCAGTACTTTTACGACCTGAAATTATCTTGTACAAATCAATGACGGTAAGGACCTTGTTATGTCAAGTGTGCTATTTTATGACAGAGCCCAAAATGCTAAACATAAAGAACTGAAAAAAAAAAAAAAACCTTCTTTAATTTATCCAAGCAAAAGTTAACAATCATGCCCAATCACTGCCCTTAGTGCCAAATGCTTCCACAATAGGTAAAATAAGGAAAGATGAGAGGACAATCAAGTCTCAATTTTATTATCTGTTACAAGAGGATGATAATACCCATCACACTGGATTGTTATAAAGATTATGTGAGATAAATGTTTGTGAAAATATCTACCATAGTGCTTAGATTCACTCAGCAAATATTTATTGGCACCTATTATGACCCAGACACTCAAGATACAATTATTGTGTAATACAGTATTTTCCAAAAGTGGCTGCAACAACATCTCCCATCCCAGATACTCTTCTATGTCCACCTTGAATGACGTGGACTCCATCCCCTCCCCTTGAATCTCAGAGGGCTAGTGATTCATTTTATCCAAAAGAATAAAGCAGACATGATACCGCTTGACTTTTGAGGCAATCGGCTTCTGCTTTGTGCTGGAACACTAGCATTTGGAGTCCTGAGCTGCTATGTAAGAAGTCCAACTACCCAGAGATATTATGCTTTGATGAAAGCCCAGGCCATACAGACAGAAATGTCTGGTCAAAGCCTCATCCAAATTCCCAGTCAATGGTCAGTATCAACTGCCAGACATGTGCACAAAGAAGTTTATAAATGATGCAGGACTCCAGCTGTTGAGTCTTCCTAGCTGAGGCACCAGACATCATGGAGCAGAGATAAGTTATTGTCACTGTGCCCTGCTCAAATTCCAAAACAAGACCAAAACAATCTATGAGTATAATAAAAGTTGTTTCAAGACACTAAATTTTGAAGTAGTTTGTTACATAGCAATAGTAATTGGAACTTAAAGTGATGAAAGCAGGGAAAAATATGTTCCCTGCCTTCAAGGAGCTTACATTTTGGGTGGGGGGGATGTTGAGAAGGACACATAAGTTAGGGCACATATAAGCAAATAGTAATAAGAATTATGAAATGCTGGATCAACTGGATAGCCGCATGCGAAAGAAAGTAGTTGTACTGTTTCCTTACACCGTTATACAAAATGATTCCTAGAAGAAATAGTGACTACGCATTTTAGTGCTTCATTTAAAATTACCTTTAACCAACATTTGATTTGAAAACTATACTCTTACTGTTAGGACTGAGACATTTTTAATATGATAATGAGCACTTGATACGTAGAAACTTTATAGTAATAATTATTGGTGTAAGAACTAAAACTACAAAACTCTTAGATATAAACACAGAAGTAAATCTTCGTGACCACGGATTAGGCAAAGCCTTCTTAAATACGTAAAAAATGCAAGCAACAAAAGAAAAAAAATAAATTGGACTTTATCAACAATAAAAATTTGTGCTTCAAAGGACACTCAACTAAGTACAAAGACAACCCATAGAATAAGAGAAAATTTTAGCAAATCATATATCTGATCAGAGTCTTGTATCCAGAATATACACAGAACTCTTACAACTATAGAATAAAAAAAGACAACCCAGTGAAAAAATGAGCAAAGGATCAGAAAAAATATTTCTTCAAAGAAGGTATACAAATGGCTAATGAACACATGAAAAGATGATCAACATCATTAGTCAGTAGCAAAATGCAAATCAAAACCATAATAATACCATTTCATACCCATTAGGATGGCTAAAATAAAAAGATAATCAGGAGTTGAAAAGAATATGGAGAAACTGTAACCCTCATATATTGGTGTTAAGATTATAAAATAGCATAGCCACTTTGAAAAGTTTGTCAGTTCCTCAGAATGTTAAATATAGATTTATCATATGCTCTAGAAATTCCAATCCCAGGTATATACTCAAGAGAAATGAAAACACGTCCTCACAAAAACTTGGACTCAATTGTTCATAGTAGCATTATTCATAACATCCAAATGTAGAAACCACCTAAATGTCCATCAGCTGATGAATGGATAAACAAAATGAGGTATATCCATATGTTATGGGTTGAATTGCAGCCCCCAAAAAAGATATGTTGAAGTCTTAACCACTAGTACCTCGGAATGTGACCTTATTTGAAAATGAGATCATTGCAGATGAGGTCATACTGGAGGAGGGTGGACTCCGAATCCAGAATGCCTGGTATCCTTATAAAATGGCCACATGAAGATACAGACATACGAGGAGGATGCCATGTAACAACAAAGGCAGAGACTGCGGTTATGCAGCTACAAGCCAAAGAATGCTAAAGACTGTGGGCAAAAGGTAGGGGCAAGGAAGGATTCTTCTCTACAGGTTTCAGAGGGAGTATGACTCTGCTGACACCTTAATTTCAAAAGATATTAAATTTAGATAATAAACGTAGATAATAAATTTCTACGTTTTTAAGCCACCTAGTTTGTAGAACTGTTATGGCAGCCCTAGGAAACTAACACATATAGTGGAATGATTCAGCTATAAAAAGGAATGAAGTACAGCAGCCCCTCAAATAACACCATTTTATTATAACATTGATGAGATGTCCTAGGAACTTAACTCTTGTTTATATCAAGTAGCCTATGGTAAAATTGGTTTCATTATAGTTGTTTCCATTAAAGTCACAGAACCTGCTATAATGTTAAGTGAGGACTTACTGTATTGATACATGGTCAAACCTTGAAAACATTATGCTAAGTGAAAGAAACAAGGCACACAAATTTACATATATGCTTCCATTTATATGAAATGTTCAAAATAAGCAAATTTATAGACATAGAAAATATTATATTAGTAGTTGTCTAGGGCTGTGGGGAAAGGGGCAGGATTATGGGAAAATGGTGAATGACTGCTAATGGATACTGGGTTCCTTTTTGGGATGATGAAGATGTTCTAAAATTAATTGTAGCAATGGCTGCACAATTCTATGAATAGACTAAAAACCACTGAACTGTACATTTTCAATGGGTGAATTTATGGTATGTGAATTATATCTCAATAAAACTGTTTTTAAAAAATGAAAGAAATGCATATGACAGAGTTAGGGAGGGGTGAGGATACTTGAAAGAAAGCATTAGAGAAAAACTGTTCCAAGAAGTAAAAGCTAAAACCTGAAGGATAAAGACAGATGGGAGAAGAGCATTCTAGGTAAAAAGAATGGTACAAATGTCCTAGGGTGAGAATGAGCTTGGCATACGTGAGGAACAAAAAGGCAAATATGGCTAGAGTATAAGATAGAGTGGTATGGGATGAAGTTGGTAGATAGTCAACAGCAGTGTGTTAATTCTATAAAAATTATAGGTCATTAAGGGTAGCTACAATAAAATTGTTGGCAACTTTACTGTATCTCCAATATCACCTTTAAACCCCAACAAGATTATATAGTAATAGTTACCTCATTTCATATTTAAACATCTATAACCACAACAAATAATTACTCTTATAGGTGTCCATTCCCAAAGTTACCTGAATCTCTTGGGTTTGAGACAGGACTGGTCTTAGCAATAGCAATCTTAGATAGTCAAAATCAGTCCAAATCTATCCCTAGGCCAAGAGTTTCAGGTTTCAAAGGCATAAACATCTAGTCAAAACCAGACCCCTAGATGTGTCAAACAGCAACCCAAATAAAGCCAAATCAACCCATTCTAGAGGTCAGGGATTTTCTAAGACAATATTGTCATGGGAACATTCCCATGACTCAAGGAATTGGGAAATATTTGACCACCTTTAGGAATAAAACAAACTAAATGAATATTTAACTAGGTATATGTGTCCTCAGCCTATTCATGAATTCCTCCCTTTGAGACATAAACAACATCTGCACATTTGCAGGTCGAGAAATTTTGAAGTTAATTCAAAAGCTTGCCTTTTCTCTTTTGGCCTCAAGTTGGACTACAAGTTTCAGCAAGGAAAAATGACATGGCAAAATTAAAGGGCAATGCTCTGGACCATCCTAAATATTCCTATTTTAGTTTCACTTAAATAGTTCTGCCTGTTTTATACTGTTACACAGCTGTGTCAAACACCTGTTGACCTCATTATGGAGGTATTTCAATAACACCGAGATGGGCCTAAGGAACGTTCATGAAAATGTAATGAAGATGTTAGATGTCAGACAATCTGAGATGTAAAAAGCAATGGCTAACCCATTTAATAAATCTGAAATAACAAAATGATGTTAACCAGAAGGCAAGCCTACAAATAAATCCAGTAAATGTATTACTACACAAGTCTACCTACCTCCTAAATAATACACAAAAGTAGTAAAAGGTAGTAAAAATAGTATTCTTTCCCATTTTCTCAGGGAAAAAAAAAAATTGTTATTTTCCCTAACCTAGAGGCTATCCGTAAAGCTAAAAACAAAGCAAAACAAAACAAACAAAAAGCTCCAATGTGATTAAAATTAGTAGTAAATTGGACTTACTGTTTGGCCTGGTTAACATGAACCCCTAGTGTATAGCTCAGCCATTTGTATGTCACCTGCAAGAAGAAAAATGTTAAATGTTTTATTAGATGACTCCAGAGTGCAGGGCAGTTCTAAGGGCTCCTAAATATTCCTACTTTTAGATGATTATGCCTTATAAATTATAGTCGGTGCCATCCCAGTTTTGCCAAGAACCATCAATCTGGGCAGGCAAGACTGAGATATTTATCTCACAGACTACTAAGAAGTTTGTTTTACAGACAAATTAATGCAAAGTCTAAAAAGGAAGGCTGAATGAATCAAAGAAAAGGCTCTCATTTTCCCCACATTCCATGTTTTACTAAAGCTTTTTTTTTTCAACTTGTCCTTTTGGGGATCCATCACAGAAAACTATCCTAAAACTTATCCAGAAGCTAGATTATTTTGAAGTGTGAGACTCAGAAAAACCTCTAAGTTGCAGCCATGCAAACGGTTAAGGGCACAGGTGTGCATAGTTCAAGGACTGAAAGAGGGGGCTGAATACTGTTTCAGAGGTTAGATTGGAAACTTCTGGCCTCAAGCCTGTTATCCTCCTTCTATCCTTCTTTAATTCTACTGTCACTCTTCTCTCCAAGTCGTCCAAATCTAAACGCTGAGTTTCTAATAACACCGTTACATATGGTAGGCAAAGGCAGTATGATGTAGATGAAAGCATTGGCAAAATTAGATAGATCTTAGTTGGTAAATTGCCTATCCCTTACTAACCACAAATAAATAAGTTATTTGGCCCCTCTGCTTCAAAAGACGTTTTCTAAGGATACTTCTACCCCCCTCTGAGTGGATCACTGCAAAGATTAAATACAGTAATGTGTATCCAAAGCTCACAGCAGGCACTCAATTCTCACGGTTTGCAAAGTGCATTCACACCCACTGTCTCATTTGATCTTTACTCCAACTCTGTGAGGCAGGTCAAGCCTGTATCAATACCAAACTTCCAGTAAGAGGAAACTGACTGACTACAACTTGTCGCTTAAACCCGGTTACGATTTCCTCAACTGTAAACTTGGGGCTTTAAAAGCCAACCACCTTATCAGACAGGTGTAGAGTCGCCTTAGAAATATTATCAAACAATGCCCCGCCCTCTGCGGCCCCCAGTCGGTGCGCAGTGCCCAGCACGCCCACCCAAGAGACGAAGACTTGCGTGCGCGCCAGAGGCTCTCTCTGGCGAGTTCGTTTGCCCTGGGCACGAAGCGTGGGGACCTGTTACCCTCGGCAGTACCCACGCGACCACACGCAGAGGGGTCAAGGTCCCCACCGCCCTGGCCGGGCCCAGGACCCCAGTCGCAAGCCCATGTTCCCCAGTCCTAGCTTCTCACGATTTTGTTCTGGTCCGTGACGAATTCATCTATATTTTCCAGATAAAACTGGTCCGCCATGGTGCTGCAACGCTGGGCCCCGCACCCTCTCAGCTCCCCACGCCACCACAACCGCAGCTCCCGCCGGCGGGAAACGTCTTTCCTCCCACCCAGGCCCGGGGTCGTTTCCCACAGCAACGGAGAGACGCTCTACGGCGGCCGTCGGAGGGTCAAATTAGTTTCAGACAAGGCTCAGGCCGAAGTAGGCGGAGCTAGTAGGAGCAGGCGGAAGTGAGGAGCTAGGCGGGCGGGCGTGACCTGGAGAGGTTGTCTGTGGCGCTGTGTTTTCAAATCCCATCTCGGCCGTTTAGTGACTGACCCCCGGGCAAAATACCTGACGTCTAGGAGCCAGTCTTTCCACCTGTAAATTGATAAAATAATCCTTGCCCTTTCATACCTTTATTCAACAAATATTTATCAAGAACCTGTTTTGTTCCAGGCACTTCTTAAACATTGGGGCACCGCAGCGAACAATAAAGAAACAGGTATTTTTAGTAGGGTGCTGCCAGCTGGAATAAAGTAGTGCTTGTTATAATCACTCAGAATTGAAAAATTAGAGAAGGTTTTCCAGAAGGGATTAGAGAGAGGCAGTGTTTTGGACAGAGGTAGGGGCATTTCTGGGAAGAGAAAGGTTGATTATAACCGGAATGTTGAGAGGAGAGGCCAATGAGGAGAGATGGGACTTGGGAGAAGCCAAATTATGCTGCCCCTATAAGGACGTGTGAAGGGGCACATGAACTTTATTCTCAGAAACATTTTCAGTTTGGGAAATATCAATGAAAATCCCTCCTAACATCGGCTAAAAAACCCTTAATAATTAACTTCAGCATAAGACAATACAGTTAAATATGGCGGCATGGTGGATTTTCCAGCAGGCTCTAGACATAGGCCCTGGATGTGAGAATCCTGGTTTTGATATTTGTTGTGTGACCTTAAGTAAGTTATTTAACCATGGCAAGCATGTTTCCCATCTATAAGATGGAAATAATAATAGTACCCACTTCAAAGTTTTGTTGCAACATGCATTCATTCAAGAAATTGTTAGCAAAAGCTTTCTAATAGCCAGGCACTGTTTCTGGGATGCTCAGTGTACAGCTGTGATCAATAATACATGGAGCTTAAAGGGGGGTGGGGGGAGGAAGGGAGGAGTCTCTCTGGGGTCAGGGGTGCTTTCCAGGGGCACGCGTGAAACTGGTCTCCTTACTGAGTGACCTCGTCAGCCACCTCCCCTTACAGCGAGGAGGAGAAGGGAAGGGAAGGGAAGGGAAGGGGAGGGGAGGGGAGGGGAGGGAAGGAGGGAGGAAGGAAAATAATACATGGAGCCTGTACACATGTAGCTTACATTCCTGTTAAGATATTTAAGTGAAGAATGGTAGGGGTTTAAAATAGGATAATGGTAGTAGAAATTGAGAGAACCGAGTGACTTGCATTTTCTTTAGAGTCAGCAAAACATGCTGATGAATTAGATGAGTAAAGTGTAAGAAAGACAGGAATCAAGGAAAATGCCTAGATTTGGAACCTAAATTTTTAGACAAACTCTGATGCCTTTGACTACTGAGATGTGGATGACTGAGAAAAAGAGAAGATGAGAAAAATCAAAGAATTCTATTTGGCCAGAGTTACAAATGAGCTAATGTATATAAAACCTTCACAACATGCTGGCACACAATAAAATTGATAACAGTTGGCTATTTCATTACTGTCTACCAGGCACATTGTACCAAATGCTTTGAGAGTGAGATTTCATTTAATCCTCATAGTGACCTTGCAAATGCATTGTGTTTATCCATATTTTATACACTAGATTGCTGAGGTTTAAGAGAAGAGTCATGGGTTTTTCAGGTCACAGGGTTAAGTGGTAATGTTGGAATTGGGACTTAAATTTCCTGTTATTGTTCCACGGGAGTGGGATATAAGTCAGGACAATTGACCAGAGAAGGCTACTACCCCCATACGAAAGGGAGCAGATAATACAGTACAGAGTACCTGGCCCAACATACTTCTAAATATTTCAATACTAAGAGTTGCATGACTTTTAGAAGCCAGATTAGTGGTTACCCTTGAGAGGGTAGAAACTGGAAGGATTCTGAGAAGAGGGTAATGTTCTGTTTCTGGATCTAGGTGCTGATCTCATGTTGAGTTTGTAAAAACAACTTGAATTGTACACTTCTGATATAGATAGTTTTCTGTATGCATGTTCACACCAATAAAAAGTTTAAGAAGAGTGATTATTTGAGGAACCTTAACAACTGTGCCAAGCCTTCTCAAACCAAGAAAATAGGAGATAGGTACAGATATTAGAAAGAATGGGTTTTAACCTTGGACAAAAGAAAAGAGATTCTGGGAAGAAGGGATAAGGTGCAAAAATGGACCCTCAACAAGACAGTAATGGGATTATCAAATTAAGATAAATGATCAAAGGCATCTCTAAGTCTGGGGTGGAGTAATGGAATAGAATGGGACTAGAAAAATGTCTCTTTAAAGAAGGGACAATAATATGTACTAGTGTACTGATAAATGTTTAACGACCAATTTGCCTAATAAAAAAGCCCTGATTTGTAGTGGTTGCCAGCCTCTGTGGTGTAAATAGTCCCACCGAATGCAGTTAGGTATGCAGCATCACACCATTGTTTCCACCTTACAAGTACGATAAACAAATAACCACAAAAGCACAGATGGTAGTTCAATACAGAAAAATAATTAGGAAGTGATGAGATTTGAATAGTTGTCTTTATTTTTAATACAATTTATTTAATTATAAGTTATATTATCTAATTTTTTAAATAATGGCTCTGTTTAACAACTGACTTGCAAACTTTCTGAAATATTAACATTTGGTTCTCATAAGCAAGTACTGACCAGCTCTAGTATACCACTGAAAATAATTTATCTACTTTGCATGATTGAGGGGATTGAAAGTAACATGTTCTATAACTGGCAGATAACTATTATATAACTAACACTTATCTACCACTAACTATATGCCAGGCTCTGTTCCAAGTGCTTTATAAATATTAACCTATCTAATCACTATAAGAACTCTAGAAAGCAAGGCTGTTATCCTCTTTTCCAGATAAATAAACATTAGCACAGACTGATTAAATAACTTGCTCAAGATCACAGAACAAGTGGCAGAGCCAGAATTATAACCCAAGCAGTCCAGCTCCAGCATCCATGATCTTAAACATTGTGTTTTTCTGTCTCATTATTAGTTTAAAATTGCATACAAGAAAACCAATAATAAGTACAGTGAATTCTAATACATTTTATTGTAGAACTTTGCAATCCTTGTGCCCATCAGTCAAACGAGAATTGCTTTCAGTGGAAGCCAAGTAAGAAGTAGTATATATTGAATATCTACAGGATGTGGGAACGTAGGCTCCAGGCAAACAGGAATTTATCTTAGAAGTTGTCAGGGCAGCTGTTGGGGGGATAAGAGACGAAAAGTTCCGGAGGATAGATCTTTGATTAGGTTTAGGGAGGGAACCACAGCTAGCAAATGCCAGTAAACAGACTAGGACTATGTCCAGAAGATTAATGTTTTATTTTGATAATGCCTGAAAGCTTAGTTCTAGGGTCAAAAGTAAACCAAAAAAGAAGAAAATTCTGCATTTTCAATCTCATAAATCATAGGTAAGAAAGTCTCATGCATTGCTGGGGTGATAATAATTACATATATTAAACATCTACCATGTTGTGGATACCTTGCATAGAATGACTCATTTGATACTCAAACAACCCTATTAAATTCTATTATTCATGCACCAATAAAGTACCCAAATTTAAATCAATTTTATGTTAGTGAGAAGAGTGAAAAGGATATGATTCCACAGAAGTTCCAAGACTTGCTTAAGCTAATAACTAAGTAGAATTTTAGAACTGACCTCATTCTAATATGATAACAACAACTGCATCAGCATCTAATAAGTTCTCAGTCGATGTTTATTGACTTAAGTTCAATAACACTGAAGGCAATGAGATTTGAGGGTGGAAATACTGGATTAAGAAACAATGAGGCCTGAAATGTTGTTCACTCTCATAAATTAAGTGTATAAAGTGTGCAAGCACCATGCTGGGCCTTTTACTTGACTGCACTCATTTAATCTTCAAAACAATTCTAGAAAGTAAGTAAATATTATTACTCACCTTCTATTCTCCCTGTTTTACAACAAGGAAACTGGAACTCAGAAAGATTAAGTAACTTGCCCTCACCTGTAAGGACAGTAAATGGTTGCAGACAATGTTTCTGCCTGGGCATGCCCACAGCCCATGCTCATATGCTATTGCTTGCTTTGGGGGAGACTATTTAGCTGATTTTTCTTCTCTTATTTTTTTTCTTATACATGTTTGAACTTTTTACAAGCATCTGTATCATTTTTATCATCAGAAAAAAAATAAACATTTTCATTTTGAAAAAAAATGGGGCATTTAGCAATGTAAAGTTTACTCATCTTCTCATTCCAGGCATCTACAATTAGGAAAGTAGCACCATTCCCACCTATACCTTAAGTGTTGCTTCTTAAAAAAAAAAAAAAAAAAAGACAACTCATTTCCTGTTCCTTAAGGACGAGGTTTAACTTCAATGTTAAGAACAAGAGCAGTTCTTCAGAAACAAGAACAACCAGTCAACCAAAGTATTAGCTAAGCAAAAGAAGCCAGACAAAATTGTTGGGGATGGCAGTGTCGGCTGATACCAGTAGTAGGAGCCATAGAATGAAGACTCTTCAGCCTACACAGCTCAAAAGAGAATCTGAGGTTAATGTTAGAAATAGAAGGTTGACCTTCCTCTTTCCTCCTTTTTATCCCCACTTCATCCCAGAAATGACTGGCATCAGAGAGTCTAATGATTCTGACAGGGCATGGGGTGGGAAATCTAGATGGGACTCAATATTGGGAGACAGTGAGGAGTGGTTAACCTGTATGCAGGCAGGATCTCCAGACTCAGAGTAGGGGAAGTGGGCAGGCCTCTGACCAGGACAGCAGGCCTGTAGGAGCAGCTCAGGAACCCCACAGGTCTCTGGGGGATAGCATTCCAGGCAGGGGAACAGGTCAGAACCAAGGAGTATAAGATTAAGAATTATGTCTACGGCCATACTACCCTGAACAAGCCTAATCCTGTCTGATCTCGGAAG